AAAAAAAAAAAATAAAAATATAATTGAATGTGCATAACTTCTTAGTTACCGTGAGAAACTTTAACAAACAAATATTTTTAAAGTAATTAAATTCTTGACAAGGAAATATCGCTTATATGACAAGTATAACGCTAATTTACCTAAGTTGATTAATGTTTGCTTTTTTAAGTGAGAATAATAGCATGCCCATATGTATGTGTTCTGAACTCTTGTTTATGATCTTAAGTTTTTAAACTCTATTGTTCACCATGGAGTAAAAAGCCAAGTGTAAATATTGTCAATTAAATAATAAAACTAACAAATAGTCTCATTTTTATTTGGTCCTTGATTAAACATCTTTGTCAAATCGATTCAATATATAAATATATGTTATTGTTTAGCATTTAGTATGTTTCACATTGGCCCAGGAAATGACAACACCTTTGCTAAGGGTATAGAAAAGTGCACAACACGGGTTGTGTTATTCGTAAAACCAAATTCACAATACCAAGCATTGCGCCCCTGCAGACAGCTAGGACTCGAATGGCCCCATGAAGTTTTTGTGTTTGACGCAAAAATATTCATAGGAACCCACAAAAGGCGGATGGCAGCCAAAGCCAACGACTCTTGTCCATTTGTTGGTCTCACACATACACGCACATGCACAAATGCACACACATACACATACAGTCAGACTCATTTCTTTAGCGATTGGTGTTTATTTTCAAAATTTTGATCACGTTCCCTGGCCAACTGACTCTCGAGGAGCCAATGCATGGACATGGCTGAAAGCTACTTTGGCCTTTGTTCGCTCGCCAAGCAGAAGGCTAACAGCTTTTGGGTTATGTCAGTGTGCGCTCAAATTGTTCCCATTAATGCGATTTCGACCATGTTGGCCAGTGTAAATTTAACATCTGACTGATCCCACAGAAAATAAGCGGTTTCGAGAAATAAAAACAAGTCAAAACACTGTAGTCAAGAATACCCGACTAGCTGTTACCCTATACACAGCTCTGTATAGCCGAAACAGGCATCTGACATTTCTCGAGCTAAATTATTACTTAAATAAACAAAGAGGAATAAATCAGGAACCTGCCTGCCGAATTTGATTCGTCTCCCATTGAGCTGAAGTCGACAGTTTCATATAGACAGACAGATGGATAGAAATTGTTAAGCCTGCCGCCTGGCATTCACTTCTTGGTACACCAATTTGTTTTTCCCGAAATGGGCATGAGGAGAAATTAAATTACGCATAAAAAACGCTAAATACAAATTTGCATATACAATATTACTGATACACTTTTTAACCTGCTGTCACTTAAATGGACGTCGACTGACTGGTAGTCACAGATTCGTCTGCACTTAAAGCCCACATGCGACAGCACAGCCCCAGCCCAACCGAGGAGTGCATAAATATTTACAGCCTTTTTTAAAATGAATCGTGGCGGAGCTAAATTTGTGCTCTTGCACTTAGAGAAAATGCGGAAATAATTTGAACTGCAACTTTTAATTCAATTGGAATGCAGTAACATTAAATGAAGAAAAAGTAAACGAAAAATAATAAAGTAAATATAAAAATATAGTCCACTCTTGCATGGAATTGTTGAATATTAATAAAACTAAATTCTTACTTTACTATATATATTTTAGTTTTAATTTTATCTTGAAACAAAAGATAATATAAAGAGAATTGCAACAAGAAAATTTACCATTGTGTTATTTTCTTTATTTAAATTGGGCAGGAATGGTAAAAAAATGTATTGTTATAAAACTACAAAAGTTAAGCTTATAAGTTAACTTAATAGTTAAAGCGAATAATTTCATATTTGGTTTGTTAATTAACATAAAGAAATATTATAATAATAATTGTTAATGAAACTTAAAGCAGTGAAACCCAACGGAGTTAGAAGGTACATAATTAAAGCTGGAATTTGACTCAGCACTCAGAAAACACGTTTACTTACAAAGCAGCTCAAATTCGAAAACTCCTTTAGGTAATTGCAAAACATAAATAAATTAATGTTGAACGGGCCATAAATCTGTTTATGAGCGCGATTTTGCCTAATCGATTATCACCAGTTTTTAATTTTAGTCCAATTTAACTTGAATCGTCAATCAAATTTTGTATGACATCCATATTTCTTCAGTGTGGTTGGCCCCAAAGTGGCACCTGCCAACGTTCACAGGATTTTGTGGGGGCAGTATGTGAAAATGCAATTAAGCTGTAAATATGGGTTTATATGTATGGAGCTCAGATCGCTTGGCCTGATAACAGAGCGATAGCTTTGCAAAATTGTAAAAAAAATATTTGTGATGTATATGCGTTAAAAAATTGGTGTATCATAATCAACGCACAGGCAAATAAAGTGCAAGTCACACGAGAGAAGCAGAGGGAAAAAGCAACCAGGAAACGGAATATTGTGAAAACATGTGTTAAGGAACTGTGTCGGGGCACAACTTGATAAAAAATGATTGAAATGAATGCTTTTAATTCTGGTCAAGGAATTAACTCTAGGAATTTCTGAGAATTGCCAAGCTTATCGAGTTATCAGACCCCTGAGTATCGACACTATGAAAGTATTTTGTGTTAAAGTTAACATGAACTAATATTAAAGAGTTTAGTTAAGATTGAATGGTTGTTCTATTACATTCGGGTTGTTATGACTATCATAACACTTTCGTAATAACTGTTGCCATGCTCCTGAAGCTTTAGCGCCACTTAAACACTTCTAATATTAATGTTATTGGAAATTACGTCCACTCCCCCACTATGATGGATGTCAATGTCAAGTAAATATACTGCTTATCATTGGCAATGACATGCCTCCTCAGTTGCCCCTATTGGAGGCGAAAGCTTACGCCTACCGCAACTGGCTGTCAACATTTTGTTGTTGTTGCTGCTGTTGTAGCCTTTAGCTGAAGTGACACGTAGCTGCAGAGCAGCCATCAACTTGAGCTGATGCCTCATAAATGAATGTTTCTTGGCGGCAGGATGACGTGGCTGGGGAACTCTCAGACTCTTCGCTGGCTATGGCTGACTTGGCAACTGTAAACGAGTCATAAATACAAGTACATGGTACAGTATTTATATCTTTTTATGTATCTCAGTTCGTGCAACAATTCATGAAATATTAAATACGCTTTGTGTTTGAACAGGCAGCAAGGCGGGCGCTGAGGAAATGTTGAAATTAAATGATACCAAATAATGTGATTATTGGCCGCTGTCGTTGTTGTTCCCGTTGTCATCTTTACTGCTTTGTTGTCAGCTGAGCTGAGTACAATGACTCGGCTGCAATTCAATCTTCTGACTGATGTAGCTGCCGGTTCCACTTGGGCACGCCTGATTGAGCACAACACACAAATATGTGTGAGGACGTGTGTGTATGTGCGCACATTTTATGATTTAACCGCTTTGGTGCTCTTCCTGGTGTTTTCTTCTTCCGTTGTGCCTGGTTTTATTTTGTACATATAGACATTAGCCAATGAGGAGGAAAATCAAAAGACAAATGGCAGCAAGGACCTTTGAATCGCGATGCTTTCACCAATTAGGTGCCTGGTCATGTGCATTGTGCATATTGCAATGCTACGGCTTATCTTACATAATCAGGCCATGCACTAATTAAACACGCACACCACCACCATCACCACCACCATCAGCAGCAGCACCATAAGCCCAACGGCTTTCTTATACAGATACGTACACACATACATGCTCATACTCGTATAGCAAACAACACAGCAGCATCGGCATCAGCATCAGCGCCAGCAGCAGCGACAAGAGCTCAACGGGTCATTTCGCAATTAAGCTGCAGTCGCAGTGGCAGCAGCAGCAGTCGCAGTAGCAATAGCAGTAGCAGTAGCAGCAGTATTGCAGCCATGTATGCGTCTCTATAGCATTTTGTTACTCCGATCCGCTCCCGAAACCCGACCATTTTTCCGCCTGATGATGATGAATGAGTTAAGCGACCGTTGCCTTGTAGCTGCCCATCTAATGAGATACTTTTTCTGCGAAAATGCGGATGCTGCTGTGAGAGCATTGAAAGAGAGAGGGAGAGAGAAAGGAAGAGCTCAAAATCATACGATGTCTCGTCTCGTCTCAGCTCATCTCATCTCATTCCAGTTGCGTTTCAACTGCGTAATCTTTGTCATCCTCTCTATGTATCTATATCTTTTGCTATCTGTTATGTGTGTATATACATACACACACAAACGCTCACACACACACAACACATGCGTGCCTAGGCACTAATTGCGTCTAATTGAATTGCAATTGACCGTGAGTTGGCGTATTTTTCACTCGTTTTTGCCGACCGACCGCCAACGACGACGGGCCCGCTTGATGAAGATTTACGCAGCTGCTTTGATTTGTGTCAACAAAGACGACGCCGGCAACGGCAAAGGCAATGGCAACGTCATTTCAACAGATGCACATTCATGCCTGGCCTTCCGTCAAACATTTAGTCGTGGCGCCAGTGCAATTGCCATTAGCACAACAACAAAGTCGAGGGCGACAGCAAGTGAAGGTATGCATACATCCAATCTTGTGCATATAATTGATCCAGCTCGTTCTGTATTGGCTCTGGCCAAGCTTGTAATAATTTGAATTCCATCCATACCAATATAAAGAAGTCAAGTCGATCAGACATGCAAGACATATCTTTCTATATCAATGTAAAACAAGACTATGTTATTTTTTCCACAAAATCGATAGATATTGTCTTGAAATTTTGTGTTCTAGTTTTTAAATTTATTTATATTATATATTATTTATTTATTTTTTTGTATTATTTCACTTATATTATTCAATAGCAGCATTCTCTTGCCGATTGAAGTTTTGCGAAATAATTTGTTAAACTGCAGTTATTATCTCGCTGCCTATTGCAGTCAGTCTTACTGCAGCGATAATAATTACGACTCTTGTCATCCTCCTTGCCGCTTACCCGACCACCTCGTCAACCATTGCATTCTTCACAAACGTTACCCTTTGCGTTTTGTTTCGTTCTCCACTGTTTTCATTGGCGCTACGCCTTTTTGCCTGCACCTTCGCCACCCTGACCTCCACCCTGACCACCACCACGCCCGCCTCGTCCCCCGCTTCCAGCTCCATCTTCGCCATCTTGTCCTCGTCTTTGATCGTCTTTCTTGTCGCGTTCGCTTTTATTTTCATTACCGCTCTCCTTGCTTTTGCCGCCTCCATCGCCACCACGACCTCCGCCCCCGCTTCCACCTGCACCACCCTTACCACCGCCAGCTCCTCCTTGTCCATCCTTACCCCCGCCACCACCATCTTTCCCGTCCTTACCCCCGCCACCGCCACCTCCACCCTTATCGCCGCCGCGTCCACCATCGCCACCCTTTCCAGTCCCTGCCCCAGTTAAACGATTTTCATTGCCATCTGCGAGTCTAGACATTCCTAAAGTAATTTTTATAGTTTCCAAATTTGAATTATTTGGACAGAAAACCCAAATTACAAATATGTTAAAGTATCAAACTTGCTCCAGTTAAATACAGACGAGACCTACAAATTTGCAATAACAGCATCTCTTAAAGCTTTTAACTTTTTTGGTGAACACAAGATATAAAAATCTTAGCTATAATAGTAGAAATGAGCTATAATAAAAAGTTTGATTATTGATTAGAGCTCTGAAAGTTGTTTGTAATATCATTTCACTTTTTATTATAATATTACATTTTCAAAGACAAAATGTTCTTTAGTATTTTTGAATATACATATATTATAACAATATGTACTTATGGTGAGATACTGATATTTAATACAGACAATCAAAATTCGTCACCACAGTTAAACGCCTTTACTTTTCGCAAATTAACAACTTATACGGCCAAAAGTTTTGCCAACAAAGTTCGTCGAAAGTTGCCAAGCACCTGGTCCCTCACCTTTGTCTGGCTAACACAAAGTTGCTCGACTTGTGGCTGGGGGCGACTTAAAGAAAATATGAAAAATCGATTGGAGCAAAAAAAAGAACTTGTGAGCTTTTCAATTTTATGCAGCGCCGTTCTTGCTGTTCGCCTGCATCCAAAATTTATGTTTACAACTTGCACGCAAAAATAAAAATTGTATTTTTATGGCGAGCGCAGAAAGAATGAACACTTTTTCATGCAATACAATAAAATATTGTTGCAATGTTGGGCGTGCTAGAAAAGTGTCACTGATATGTCAAACTAACAAAACATAAAATGGACATAAACAAAAATCAGGCTAAACATAGTCATACGGCCACAGCATAGCTACAGGACAAGCTTCGGTCTCACCACAAGAGGAGAGCAACCATCATACCCAGGCCAGGATAGATATTTTAAGTTATCTGTGCAAACTTGGTAAGTGGTCGGTGGTCTTCGGTTGGTGGCGGGGTGGGGGTATGAAGGTGCTTGCCAGCGGCTGCGTCACTGCTTCTCCTTTGTTTGTCTTTGCTTAATCTTTTGATAGAAATTTGTATAGCAAAGTTGTACTTTGGACCTTCGCCACGCCCCGTGCCCCGTACCTTCTATCTTCGGTGTTGGTTTTGCTGTGTAAAGTTTTGCGCATTATTTTCACAATGAAGAGCAACAACAATTACTTGGCACACGGTGTTTTTCTTGCCATTGGACTTACAGGTGAAGCAGGTGCGGCTCAACTTTGCAACAGATCAGCACGACAGCAGCAACAACATCATTATCATCATCATCATCATCATCGTCGAACCATTGTCATCATCATTATCACAGTGCCTTGTCACTGTTTCTGCTTAGCTTGAGCTTCTCTTATAATTTACAATCATGTCCTGTAAACTTTGATCCTGATTTACACACTCCCGATGCTGATGTCGGCATTTGTTTTGTACCCACGCCCTCACGTGCCCTGCCGTTCATTGTGTCTCTTGTTATTTACAACGTGCCCAAACCGGCAACAGCTACACAGTTAATTTGGTGCCCCAATGGCTTTCGTGCGGCGTGCTAGGCGGAGGGCGTATACTTAATAATTGGACGGTCAACGGACTCTCTACATAATTATATTCGCCACATGTGACATTTGAAACCAAAGGCGACTCAATGTGTTGCTTGAGTTCTTGGTTGACCAAGGATATTTGTGGCACATTTAAACGAATTTAATTTAAAATCTTCTGAGTACTTTAAGTGAAACGAGTTATTTATGTATGTTTTTTTTGGTTTCTTTTCTTCGTAGTCGATAGATTTTTAATACGGACGGAATAAAAATTAAACTAGAGAGTCCATGTGAAGTGTGTGTATGCTTGTGCGCGTTACCTTGATACTGAGAATAATTATAAGTTAAATTATCCTTATATGCATTTAATCAATACTATGTATTACAAAAACATCAGGACGGTAAAATTGTTTGTCCTTTTAAAGACATCTTGCCCAAAAAGTGTTTAAAGATTTAAATTCGATCAAAGCCAAATATAAATTTAGATCAAGTTTTGACACACTGGATATTATTGATCTCTCCTTAATTAAGTTAATTACCTTCTCCATGGCAAAAATGTAAAGTGCTTCCATCCGCTTCACAGAAAATACACGATTCAATATTTACTCTCTTGCGAAGACAACTACCAGCATTGGCACCTGTGAAAGCCACCAAAAAGTTTTTATAGTGGAGAAATATGGCCGCAAATGTATAATTAAAATATAACTCATTTTCTTAACAAGAAAAGCTACTGTCATTAACATTTTCTGCGACTCTTTTTTCTTATTCTTGAATTTTTGTTGGCAATTGTTTTATGCTGCTGCAGACTCATTTAATTGGTTTAAGTTGAAAGCACTCTTGCTGTCAACTTTCACTAACAACATTCAAGTTTTTTTTTGACATGAAAATGTTAAATGAATTTTGGCCAATTAATCAGAGACACAATCTCACACACGAACACACACACACAAACACACACACGCAGCGTTCGCTATTGCAACTTTTGGCCTGGCAAAGCGCTGCTGAGCCCGACAGCGCATTGCTGCACGCCCCGAGGCGCGATTGTCAGTGAACTTTCACAAGTTGCCACTGCAAGTGGATGGAAATTTTCATTGCAATTAAATTTAGCACAAAAAGTTGGCCAAAAAAATGTCGTGTAACTGTCAGTGGCAAAGAGTGAAGTGCTCGCCAAAATGTTGCCATTTGCATTGCCACTTAAACACACATAAAGGCAGCGTCAGATGGGCGGGCCAGGCATATAAGCACACACACGCACACACATACGTGTAGCTGTCGGTCGCCGGCACGCAAATCGAGTCAAGTTGAATAGGCGGAAGTAGAGCAAGAAATGCGATTGCCAAATTGAGTTGAAGGTTTCGCTTGACTGTGTTTTGTTTGGCCAACTCCGTTAGCTCAGTTGCGCCCTTTGCTGTCTCGCAGTAACAGTCGCAGTTGCAGTCGCAGTTGCAGTCGCAGTTGCAGTCGCAGTTGCAGTCGCAGTAGCTGTCGCTAGCGTTCACAGGGCACTTGGCACTTTGCTGCAATTTTGTAGTTTTGATAAAATTTCGCAAGCATATTAAAAAGTTTTTCGCAACTTCGTTTTTACTTTTGCACATGCCACACGGCCACTAGGGGCGGGCGTGTCACACCCCCCCCCCCCCCCCCTCGCGCCGTGCGCCACACATGCCAGTGACAGGCAAAGGCGGAAGCTGTGCCAGCCACGGCTTGTTTGCTGCCAAAAAATAAAAAGCTGCCAGCAGCGCACTTTGCTTTGCTATTTAATTTTGCAGCTCAAAGGCTTCACAAACTAAGTAAAAGGCACAAGGAGACATTTTGAATGATGAAAACTTTTCAAGTTGTTTACGTACGACTGAGACAACAAAATTGAGTTTGCACTAAAACTATGCTTTAAACAAAAACAATAATAATCAAAACTAGATTTAACTAATTAACGCGTCCAGCCAATGTAATTCGCAATTATATGCTCATAAATTCAACGATAATAGCCACAAAATTAACTTAAACTAAAACACACTTGTTTATATATACATATGTATGGCTTTTATTTTATTTATTTACAATATTGTTGGGGTTTATAATGCATATAAATATGTTTAAATATGAATAATGCCTGCTGTAGACTATGCCAAATATTGCAGTTATTATTGCGTTGCAGCGCGATGTTTGCGGCAATTAAACTCAATTGAGTGTTGCATACTTCTGTGCGCGGCCAGCCCCATTTTTCGCTGGCGCTGCATATAAATTAAATGTTGCAGTAGTGTGTGTGCGCCAACAAAAGCGAATTCAATTTTACATGACAAAACAACCAAATGTGCATCATTGAAAAACCAACGCCTACTTCCTGCCACGCCCAGCAATGGCCCGGGGAGACCTTCGAGGAGACAATAGCTTTAAATTGCTCGATTTAAGAGGCTTTCAGAAAGTGAAGCTTTTGTGAAACTATGCACATATACATATACATATACATATCTGAGTTTGACAGGCAAAACTGTCGTCTTAGAAATGTTGACCTACTTGAGTGGGAGACTTAACTCTTTTTGGCCCCAACTGACTGAGCCGTTATATGTGCAAGTCTTTTAAAGGGTCTGTGATTGTTCGAGAGATTGTTATAAATGGCAAAATCTAAGGACATGCAAACACAATTTAATCATTGTTGTTCGATGGCATCGCTAAGACTTCAAAAGCATTTGCCGAGCATGAACCTGAGCTTTAATTACTTTTTGGCCTGCCATTCAAATGCCACGACCCAGACACAGTGCCCTGGCACATACTCTTGGCCAGTAGCTATTACAGCCGGCTGTAAAATATGGCAAATTCGATATGTAAACGTTTGTTATGCTCGCCAAATTACAACAAAGACGCAAACATCCTTTATGACCGGTGCTTTGCATGCCAAAAGCAAACTGCTATTAGAAACTGCATTTTTTGGTGGAGCCTTAAATTACTCTTGTATTGTGCTTATTCACGGGACTTAGCCATGCTGCCTGCCATTGACACGCACACTCATGCACACAAAGAGATATGCCCACACACGCGCATTGTTATTGTCTGAGGCATGTCTGCCTGTGTGGCAAAAAATGGAGTCATAGCTCCGTGTATTAGTTTACTGGTATGCTTATGCGCTCTATTTCATACACACGCACACACAAACACACAATAAAAATGATTGCATTGGCAAACGCTGACAGGCTGAAACGCGCGTTGCTGCCTGCATATGATGGATGAGCTTGAAGCTATGAAGCAGATGTGACATTTCAAATACCAACATCCAACACACGCACTCACCCACGCACTCACACACACACACACACGGGCGTAGAGCCGAAGCTCATGTGCCAAAAAATGCATTGAACAGTGGAATGAGTTACGGGTAGTCGAGGAGTCACGAGTTTTTATTGAAATTGAATTGTTGATAAGTTTCGTCAACAAAACGTTCGACCAATTCCCACAGCACACACAGCGCAAAAA